CAAAATATGAAAATTTTCTCATAATATTAAAAGCTTTGACTAAGAAATTGCTCATGTAACGGCAGAATTAATAAATAAATGATTTCATTACTAATTTGACCGTAGCTCGAAATGTAAATTGCATGATATTGGTCGGTGCTACCAAATTTAGGATAAAACCCAAACTTCATAGGTCATTTCCCTTAATGTACGTTAATTCTTTTAATATAGATAGTAAGTTCATTTTTACGTCAAATGAATAGTTTAATAGAAAAATAGACGAATGATCTAATAGCGGATTTTATCTGAATAAAAATCTAAAGTAGAACAATTTTCAAACAACAGAAATTTTTCAAACATACTTCGAAAGTGAGCGAAAGAAAATTAGAAAACATGTGTTAAGAGTAAGAGATGTAGTTTTAGCTCCACCAAGTTCTCCACATGGTTGCAGTAGGTGGAAAAGTAACTCTCCTCAAAACCCTCCATTCCTGTAATCTCCAAAACATATAAGTGTTTAGCGTCAGAGACGTTGTTTTAGCTCCACCAAGTTCTCCACATGGTTGCAGTAGGTGAAAAAGTAACTCCCCTCAAAACCCTCCATTCCTGTAATCTCCAATTTCCTTACGGACTTCTTCTCCACATGATAATAAATAACGTATAAAGGACTACGCACAAAGCGTGGAGCCATAAGGATCCCATCAGAAGTAACTCCAACAATGCGTAATCTCGCATCTCCCACTAGATTCTCCCACGATGAAGGCAGTACGCATACATGTTTCAACCATATATGTTCCATAGCGTCCTGTAAAAGCCACAGTTCAAAATTTGTAGTCCCTGCTGTAACTTCATAGTGGTCTAACACAATAGCACCCAATTTCCCATAGTAGTTTACTAGGCGTAGCCAATTCCATATACTCGGGTCATCCTACAAATCAGCATATATAACACTAAACTCTTCACTCCTTATATCGAAACAGATAATACCATATGTACGAACAGTCTCATCATCATCATCTTTGAGATGACCTACCCAGAAAAACTGCCCCTTTATGGAAACAGCTGTGTCGCACATAAACTGATGAGATATACCGCACTTGATCATTCGCCATAACGGAATTCACTCTTCTACTGTCAATATATGAAAACTTTGAGTGGTATCCCCATAAAAGCCCAAATCTGTGTACATCGGCTTCGTCTCCATGATTAGTACTTTGAACTGTTTTGCAAATGGTTCATAGCCAAGTAAAGTCTCCACCTGATCCCACAAAATAAATCCTTTGGGTAAAAATAACAACTGTCCCGTGCTTGGATTAACTATAACCGGCCTTCTTTCCGACAGTCCATCTATGGACACCATACGTGCATAACATGACAGCCCCAACACAGGATCACAAGGTATTGAGGCACCATAACCAAAGGGTAATTCCATCTGCTGCACAGCAGCTACAAGAGGCGAGTTCTGATCCTGAGGTGTCGAGAAGACATGCAATTCTGCGCCATCTCGCAATACACAGAACAAGAGTTGAGGACGAAGCAACGACCTTTTCAAGAACAATTTAGCGAATTCTGTTTGGTGAAGTAATGCAGCCCATTTTGTTGATACTGAGCGATTTCTTGCTATGGACTTTGCCGGCAATCGCGAGACTATCTCTGTAGTGAGCTCATTTGGGAAATATTTGGCTCTCTCTACCTTTAACACAAGCTTGTCGTCAGTAGCTTTCGATTCAGAGCTTCCGCTTCTTTCCCCACCGCACAGCGAGTTGATATAATCCTCACTTCAACAAAATACAAGAAAATATTAAGGGAAACAAAAACTGTCTTAAGCGAACTCAATGAAAAGAAAAAGATCATACGGGCTCATGTCGAATTCTATTGAAGATTTCTCGTTCGCCATCATTCCTTTAAGCTATTCGGAGCACAAATCGGATTGAGGTCCATGATACTTGAGTGTACCCAATTCTGAAGGAAGAAGAAAGATATCAGTATTAAGTTTATCAAGTATATCTAGCAACAACTAAAAGAAAAGAAATGATCACACAAAAAAAAAGCTGAATAAAGCCAATTCTTCTCATACTTCTTCATGAATTGCTTTATGATCCGTTGACGCCTGAACTCCCTTGTTCTGCCACCAAACTCAATATTAGAATCATGCAAACGGTGGCATAAGTAGCTAAACAAATCGGGCCAATCTTTGACAAAACAGAAAGCAGCAATGAAAATAAAATTACGAACGATGAACACAACAGAAGCAAACATACTAAATCTGCAGTGATTTAAAAATTGAACCAAAATCATTATACCTCTATTATTTCCTGTTTTGTTGACGTTCCAACAGATTCTTCAGAAGCTTCGGCTTGTTTGTTTTTGGATGGAAGATACTGCATAGACGGTCGGAGCTGAGCAACAGCATGAACAGGATTCAAGTGTAACTGCAACACAGCAAGTCAAATCTTTATAAGATATCATCATCCGCACTAGACAAGAATGTTATAAAGCTTGGGAAATAGGGGAAGAAAATACCTCATCACCAAAAAGAACACCAACAGCATAACAGGAGGCGGTTTCCATGTTGTTGTCAAGGTCTAACCAAATACAAGAAAAACAAAAATGAATTGTTGCATCAAAGGATAAAAAAACAAAAATGAATCTAAGCTTGGACGAACTAAAATCTAACCTGCTTAGACATATTTAATTCACGTGCTTTGTTGGAATCAAAGTTATTTGACTGGTCATCCAAAGACAAATCAATTTCCACCTGGGAGGTAGAAGGATTCACTCTAACCTTAAAGACACATAAATAAACAAAAAGATTAGATCACAACACAAGAAAATGCAGAGAGTAACAGAAACAAAACAATGCAGGGGCGGCGAATACTCACTGCTTCACATCGTTCATCCATTTCGTATGGACGCCAAGACGGTCTCAGAGGATATTGTAGAACGTAAAGCTGAKATCATTGAGAAATCAAAGCTCTTAAACGATTAGCCAAAAACAAACAAAATTTCCAAAGAATCTAATCTAATAGGTGAGGAAGGTAATCCCTAGCTAACCTTAGRGTTGTCATCAATGGATGGATTGAAGTAAACGTCAATTTCACGAACAACAACG